ATTGTCCTTGTTCTGTTATTATGTGACACTATGTTCATCAGCAGTGAAATCTTTGTGTCATACTTGAAATCTTTGCATCATACTATCTTATAATTCATTAGAATTATTCACATATATCACATGTGTAACAACATCAACATTGTCATTAATTATCAGTGATGTCATAGCTGTAACTACTTTAACTTTATATTGTTCTTTATATGTGACAAATTGTTTATTCAGTAAATAAAAGTATACTGATGACTGATATACTAGTGCAAGCTTAATTCATGGACCTGCTTTGCTGTGGCATTGAAAACTTGAAGGCATCTGTGGCCTAAGACTTACTTATTCAAGTCTTACCATACTTACTCAGTTATAAGACACATTTTGGCCTTCTAAATATTGTTTAAAAGTAGAGACTCCGTCTTACAAGTGTGATCTTAGAGTTGTCACTCAAAAAATGCTGGATCTGATTCATTTGGAGGGAGGGCATCTATTGGCTTTGAACTTACTAATTCAAGTCCAAAAAGGCATTGCAAACTTATAAGGTAGGGCATCAGTTCTGTGGCCTTAAACTTATTAATTCTAGTGCTGGTTGCCATGACACACTTTGCAAACGCAGAATAAAGTGCATCTGGTTTTAGATTTACTTATTCATTTAAGTCTTTGTTGGCACATTTAAGTCTTTGTTGGCATGGAAGACATGCTTAACTCATTCAGGGCGGGCATGTTTAACCTTGAACTTGCATATTGTAGTATTGCTAGTACATGTAATTGGCAAATTGGACATTATACCATGGCATTTTAGTTGAATATCAAAATCCCTTTAACTTCTGAATTCAAAGCAGAAATTTATTTCACAAATAAAGAAGGATTATAGTTAACTGAATTCCAAGTAAGACAATTTTGTTGTACAAATTAAGCACTGGGTAAGAGTAAATTTCGTGTAAATAAAAGACAATTTTTTACAGCAATACATGTTGATTTATTGTTTATATTTTACTGAGGTTGGATTTATGATTATTCAGGAATCTATTATGATTGATATTGTATACAGAATATTACATAAAAGAATTCTTTGTTTACCAAGCTATTTGATTTACTGAGAAAAGGTAATTTTTTTCTTTACTCTAGTAAATTAATTTACTCTTTCAGGAATTTTGATTTATAATATGCAAAGCAAAAAATTAGCCAAAAAGTATAAAAACTGTGCCAAAGAATGAGAACTATTGTATGGTAAAATAAATTAATATTGTTGAGGGGATGGTATTGTAGAAGGTATGCTCACTGTTCTAAATTATAGTGTAAATCTTCCAGAATGCACCTGCAAATTTTGTTATCATAAAAAAGAAGGCAATGTTAGTGTTGGGTAATAGTATGTTTAACAATTGTTACAGTTATTGAGTGATCAGAGCCAGTCCACTTATTGTTAGTGCAGAAAAATATGAGCAGTTTAGCGAGATATGTTGATTGAAGAGAGAAATTGTAACCAGGTGGATACAAGATGTGAGCCAGAACTTCATATAATGCATATTGCCGAGGTTAACTGGTCTAGGGAAAAAAGGAGTATCTTAGGAGGTTACAGAACTAGCTTGCATTGACATTTCAAGGATAGCAAAATCTGTTGAAGAATGATTATGTTACTGACCTGGTGGAATCATTTGCCTGGTTCGAATCCTGAAAAGTGACATTATTTTCCTAAATATTCAGCTAGATTATTATTAACTGAAGAACTGTTACAATAAGAGTAGTTTGCTCATGCTTCAGCTATATAAAATGTTCTCCACATGTAAAAGATCGATAACTCTGAGGACAATTATTAACATATAGTAATCAAAATTTAAAATCAAAGCACAGAAGGTGCTGAATTTGTTTGGGTCCCAGAATGTCAGAAAGGTGAAGGTTTTGAGATTATAAACCAATTTGTTTTTGCATAGTGCCACCAATGCTTTCCAGTGTTTGAACTATAGTAAATTGGCTATAAGACTAATTGCAACACTGATAGTCAATTCAATGTTTAAAAAAAAAATTAAAAAAATGAGTTGCCTCAACTGGGATTTGAACTCGAGACCTCTCGATTCACAAGCGAGCGTGCAAACTCCTCGGCCACGGTGAAGTTATATGATAACGGCCTGAAGAAAACCATATTATTCTAAATTAGGGTTTGTAACTCATTATTTCGACGCTAAACACAGATGTAAATAATCATGGAGCTTACTGTAAGCATGTTTATCTATAAAGAATGAAACAATATTAGAAATCTTCGACCATTCGGGAACTACTTTGCTTGAAAATTAATGCGCCTGTCATTTGACAATCTTTACACATTGATCTCCCCTGAATTTTTCGGCGTTAGTGTACATATAAAGGGAAGTAACTGCTTAAAAAAAGTGGACTACTTTAGGCATTTGCAATTAACAGCATTGAGGCTCTGAAATTTCGCTACCGTTATTTGTTTGGTCTGAAGACCCAAACAAATAAAAACACGAGAGAGTTTAGTTTACAAATGACATTAGTGTTATTCATTAAAATTTAAGTGGAAAAGTGAAAAATATAAGATATATTTGACCTTTTCTGTTAGAATACTAAATTCTGCAACTTATAAGTCAAACTTATTAATTTTTTCAGTATGACAGATACGCTCCCATTTTTCATTTTCTGTCATGTATGTTTAATATAGCTTCTTAGAGAAAATGTTGTACTGGTAATATAAAATATGAACTCAAACAAAACAGTTATACATTAATGTCAGGATGCATTACTTTTGCAAATTTCGTTTTTGCTTGTTCCTTTGCTGTTTTAATGTTTTATCTTTGTTTTTTCTTTGTTGTTGGGTAATTTCTGTTGATAATTTGTAAGTGTTATCCTGTTATCCATAACAATCTGCGATTGCGGATTTTTTTTCCAAGTGCTGGGTAAATGTTTTCATGCTTTCTTCCATGGTTCACATTTTTTGCATCTTTTCATGTTGTCTTATCTTTTTGTGTTTGGTTCATGGGTCACATTGTGCTGAAGATGGGGTTTTTGGAGTTTTCTACATTTCATAGAGACATTTATTATTCCTCTGCAAATTAAATAGACAGTTATAATGCTTTTTACATGAAGTAGATATTCCTTTAATGTCTGTGTAAATCTAGCTTCAAAAGATTTGCATTTTTAGTAAAAACTGCTAAATTTGTGTTGATATACAATATAGTGTTATTTCAGGAAAAAAATGTTATTATAATATTTATAATCATGAAACAAATGTAATACAACCTATCTATATTATGTTAATGTATTATATGATTTATAAGGTTCCTAATAAAGCTATAAATATTAATTGTTTTCTGCAAAATAATTAACATATGATTTTGCAAACAGTCTTTGAGCTACTTATTGACTAATAACCAGAAACCAATTAACAGGAGGTAATTATTAATATATTAGTTCAAATTGTGTGCATCCAAATTCTGTGTTTAAAATCTTCTATCACCTGTCTGTGCTGAAGTTAACAATTTTACAGGTAATTTGAACACTAGGTTAAAAACTGTAAAGTTAGACTGTTAAACAAATTAGGCTGAAACATGATTTTATTCTAAACAACATACCAGAGTGGCATTCATAACAGTATAATTACCCCCAGTCAATGTTTGTTGTATCAATCAACAGAAGTTACCTCCCTTTATGATTTTATCTCCATTTGTAATGACTTCCTCCATGTTGTATTTATTGCAACTTTTTCTGTATATGTGTCCTCTATTTTGTAAGCATTTATTTGTATAAAACCTGTATAATATAATGTGAACTTACATAACTTTGGATATTATTTGTACTTCACAGTGCTTCAAATATTGTCAAATTGTGTAAATTGTCCAATTTTTGTAGTTCTTCACTTACTATATTTTATTTGAATTTATGGGACTCGGTGGATCATTTTATCAAAGAAGTACTTTGCATTTTATAGAATTTAATCTTTAATTAATTAATATGAGTTCATTAATATGAGTTACTGCCCTTGTATTTTCCACATTTTGAAGTTGCATATATAGACTTGCAGACACTACAATGTCCTTAAAGGAATGAAATAATGGGCAACAGTTCCCAGGCTTAAAGTGGTGTTCAGTAGTTATAGAAAGATCCCCTGCTAAATTATATTTCAAGTAGATACAGAATATTTTGTATCCTAAGAAATATAAACAAAACAAAAACTGAACACTGGAAATAAAATTTGATAAATCATCATATGATGGGGAGTATTTTGACAGCTCTGGGATATTTTACACAATGTTATGGGCTATTCCCAGCAAGGGAGAAAATTTAATGCTTCACTTGAAAAAGGAAAAATCACAGGGCGTACCTGGTAACAATTCTAGTTTGAAAAATGTTATGTTGTATAAAATAGATAAAATATAACATTTTCTTGGCATAAAATGTCAAGATCATTTGAAGTGTAAGATTGTTAGGCATTATGAAGTCCCTAATCATTTTGTTAGGGAAAAATAGCCAAAATATCTTTGTAATATACCTCAATGCTGACAATTACCATGTACATGTATATTAAACGTAAATAAAAATTAATAATGTCCATAAAGAGTGTGAAACTAACAGTGGTAACTGCTATCATTCTGCATGAAATTTTTGAGTATTGAAGTGCACATTCAACTATAGATGTGTTGTTATAATTGTAGAATTTGTGGCAATGTTGGTATTTGTAGTTTTTACTCCAGATCACATTGAATTTGTCAATGCAAAGTTCAGCTGGGTCAGGCTGTGAGGCAGTTAACCAGTATGAACTGATAACTTCTGTACATGCCAGAGTAGAAGTATGGTGCGAATGACCGTAGAAAAGATTTCATGACCAATCACAACAAAAGTGACCTGCATTGTCAGGGAATCCTACCCATGGCGCCCAATTCACAGTTCAACGCTCTAGTCTTATTGAGCTAACTGGATGACTTTTGTAGAATTTGTTTAATTATCAATCTTATTATATGGTCCTATTATAGTCTAAAAATAACTTTTTGTTCTATTTTTAGAAAGAAGACAGATGACAATCAGTGGTGGGAGTTGTTTGATCCAAATACCTCAAGATTTTATTATTATAACGCCACTAGTCAGAAAACCGTGTGGCATCGGCCCCAAAACTGTGATATCATTCCATTGGCTAAATTACAGGTAAGTTGCTTGATATGTTTTCTGCAAATGAAAGAAACAGTAGAATCTATCAGTGAGATATTTTCTATATCACTTCATAAGAATTATAATTACATCAATGATTGTAATATCATTTTGTTACTTAAATTGCAATTACATATTGTTTTTGATCAGTGAGATATAATTTGTATTTCTCACTGTGTATAAACTCTATGACTAATATAGTTTTTATGACAATAATTGCACTTTGTATAGTGATCATAAAATGTTTCATATGAAGCAAAACCTTGTTATGAAGAAAAAAAATCTTGAAACGATGGAAAACCCAGAAATTATTTTCCAGTCACAGTACATTGAATTGGGTTCCAGTGAAATGTGATCACATAAAATATATGATTCACAAGTACTTAACTCCCTTCATTATTGTATTGTCAACTGGCCACTCCATCAATTGTGGTGAATATTTAGTAACAAATCCAAGTATTAGACTAAAATCCAGGAAATGGTCTACCCTTGAAATACACTGTGATAAGGTTGAATTATATGATGGATGCAAGTTTTCAGGCATTTGCCTAAGTTCATATTTTTATACGCCCGTTTGAAAAACGGGACGTATTATGGGAACGCCCCTGGCGGGCGGTCGGGCGGGCTGGCGGGCGGCGTCCAATTTTGTCCGGAGCATATCTCCTACATGTATGGAGGGATTTTAATGAAACTTCATATAAATGTTCACCACTATGAGGAGCAGTGTCGCGCACATGAACCAGGTCTCTAGGTCAAAGGTCAAGGTCACACTTAGAGGTCATTGAAAAATGCTTGTCCGGAGCAAAACTTCCACATGTATAGAGGGATTTCAATATTACTTGGCACAAATGTTCACCATTGTGAGGCGGAGTGTCGTGTGCAAGATTCAGGTCCTTGCGGCCAAAGTAAAGGTCACACATAGAGGTCAAAGTTCAGATAAAAATATGAAGATGTGTATATGGACCATTTAGTCATCATTTATTGAGGGATTGTAACACAAATGGTCATTATCAAGACTATGGCTGTGATACATATAATTTAGGTCAATATATACAAGGTCAAGGTCACTAAAGATGATGAAATATCCAGATTTTGTAAATAGAATTTAATCAAAGGGCAACAACAAAGTTATTACTTTGTTCATAAATGACTTACACAATTACTCCCCTTGATCTACTTTCACTTTCAATTCTAAAAATAGAATTTAATCAAAGGGCATAAAATAATCCTCTTTCTTGGACTTGAGTATGTTCTAAAGAATGTAACATTTATTTACACATGTTTCATTCATTGGTCAAGATTCTTAACTGTGATAACTATGGTGTTCTGTAGACTTGGTATTTGTTCATAAAGATCATACAGTAATTACCTTATCAAATGTAAATACTTTCTCATAGAAATTTAATTATATTTTAATTTTCAAGTAAATATCAGTTCAGCTCATTCAAAGATTAAGAATTGTAATGAAATGTATTTCCCTAGAATAAAATATTAAATCAGAATTTTTTAGTTATTAAATTACAATTACATGTACTTTTTATCTTCCCTACTGATTTGTTTTAAGGTTCATTTAACAACACAGTGCGGCTGTGCCAAGGATAAAAACTTGCTTGCTAGATAACACTTATCCATAATGCCCCCATCTCCATCTAAAGCTTTCGTAAACGGGCGTATTTTGTGACTATGGCACCCTTGTTTCTTATAATTTTTAACTTGCACCCATGACAATTACGTTGCCACATATTTTGAGTATTGTGACAAAAAATAATCATGATAAAATAATTATATATAAAATATGATATCACATATTAGTTGTAATACTTAATGTCTAAATAAAGCGGGGAACATATAAAATGAATTTAAGTCTTTTGTGTATTAGTCTATATTAAGCCCTATTTTAACAATATGAAATACTTTTGTTTTATACTTAACTATATAGTCATTACATGAATATTGTATATCAAAGTCTAAATTAAAATCATCACACCAAACCCTGTGGTGATAATGACCTTTCTCATCCTTATTGTCTTTTAAAGTAAATCATTATTGTATAAGAAATAAAGCTTGAAAACCCAAGATATATTTCCCATCAATATATAAACATCGGAAATATATCTGAAAAGACGTAAATAAATAAATGTGATATTATAAAGTGTATGTATATGAGTAATAATTACTTTCTATCGCCTTATATAAATATCCACCTCCCCCGCCTTTTATTTTAACACGTACAGTTTTGTGATAATTACTAGATGGTTACAATAGTTTGATTATTTTCCCTGTACTCAATAAAGAATCTTAAGTATTTAATTCATTAACTTTAATGATAACACAGTGTATGATTGAAGACTTTAGAAGGGAGATTTTATTGTAACAAGTTATCTGGAACAAAATGATTTGTGTAGCAGATTGGGGATTTGATTCTAAAACAGAGCTTAAGAAATCTAAGGTAACAGTTTGATGTTTACTTAAAATAATTATATATTTTTTGTTCAACTTTTGGTTTTAAATTGTTTCTGGTATTAGGTCAATTGTGGTGACATTCTAGATCAATCTATACAAGAAGAGGAGTACTCAACTGCTAAATTAGTCCCTCCTACAGGTTTTAGGCATCATGTTAAAAGCTGTTACCAAGAGCAATGCTTTTAAGAAATGTTAGAAAAATATAAATGTAAAAGAATATTGACAAAAAATTATTCTTGTCCTCAAAATAAAGTGAGCACTTACGCACCAAACAAATGGTGAAGGGACAAGCATAGACCTATTATTTAACAGTGTAAGATTATATTCATTGATTAAGTATTTAAATTGTTTACGTATTATCGTTAACATTAGCATGTTTGATGCTATATGGTAATGGTAAATTATAGTGTATTGTAAATAAGGAATGGCGATGCAAATGTTACAACTTCCTATTATGGTCAAAATATTTATATAGAAATATACTAGATTTATGCATCGAAAGCAAGATATCACCTGAGGCTGTTAAAAATTTTATCCATTTGTCAGCACTAATATAATGGTTTAGGATTTTATTTTACCTTAGGATGAGATTTGTTATTAGATATTAGTACATCGCTTAAAATCTGCTAATAATAGTGTGTAATAGTACCAGTTAGTATATCAATAAATCCAGGTATCAATATATCTGAACAAATTGTTGACAGATAGTTATGTAACAACATCATATATATCTAATAATCACCTGCCGTCATGTACTTGATAAATCGGTGCAAAAGGCTGCAGGTCAAAAAATCTTGACCTTTTCGAAAATTTTCATGTCCTAATTAGAAAATAAGAAAATTTGAATTTTCTATCAGTACTGGACATTTTAATTGTTGCGAAAACATCAAAATGGTTAAAATGATGTGTGTTTTATAAAAATCGAAATTGAAGATATTAATCTTTAATAGCTGAGTTTGATGTCATAGTGTGAAAGTTTGAACAATCAAGGAGTTGTTTGATTAAAATCTTTTTGTTGATTGATGTGTCAGGAAGGATGTTCTTGTATGTTGACCGAGTTTTGGACAATGACCTATGTGGAGAGGAAATAATAAGTCTATCAGTTTGCTGTTTTAACAACTTCAAAGTATATGTTATTTATACTTTAATGTAAATATGAAAGATATACAGACCTTTTCAAATGGATATACCTAAATGTTGAAAAATTGTTTGCTTTAAATAGAAATATGATGGGAATGGCATTGACTGTGCAAATGGCAAATATCTTTTCTGATAATTATCCATAAAGTATAAAAGATTATGATTTTAATAGACTAAGTCATTAAAGAATATTGGTAATATTTTATAAACAAGTCAAACTAATGTGTCACAAGTGAATTTGAGTGTTTAGGACAAATTCTCCATGGAATTCTTCCAGCATTGATACTGGACTAGTTTTAAAAGTCTCATCTAAAATTTGAATACAGTGATTTGAATTTGGGTGTGGATGATAGAACACACTGTCTGTGGATATGTTCTCAGGCAGTGTTGTCCTTTGATCATGGGCTTACTCATAGAAGATTCAATTTTGCAAGAAAACCCCCAAATTTCAGTATTTTGCATTTAGAGCTTTTACATGGCTAAACACCATGTTTGTAAAAAAATTATCCTTTATGGTGCTATGGTTCATTGTTTTATTTTGTCCATTCAAGTTGTATTTATCATATAGATAACTTTCAGAAGCTTTCTTGATTGCGCATGCTTATATGTGTAATTTTAAGATTTATGTGTTATTTTTCAGACATTGAAGCAGAATACCGAAGTTCGAGATGAGTTGTTGGCACCAAAGCGAGAAATTTCCACTCAGACTCCACTCCCTACACCAGTAAGTTCATTCAAAATTTCTTTCCAACCATTTTGACCTTCAGAAACTCTCCAGAATGTGCTGTTTTATCATTGACATTTATATTGTTGGTGTTCTTACAAACACACCAAAGTTATGTGTGCCACAGAATAAAAGTTCAGGGATGAGTGATGTCCAAACAGAGAGAAAAAGCTTGGAAGTCTTCATAGGAATCCCACAATGTTCCTTTCATTAGAAAGGCTTACTATAAGATGGGATTCCATCTAATGTTGGGCAACAGCAAATTTATATTCTCTTTCAGCCAGAGTGCTTAATATAAGTCTAACTAATTATCTCTTACTTAACTTTCTACTCATTTTAAATGAATAAATAGATAAATGAAATAAATAAAAGAATAAATAAATTACATATTCAACTAGAAAAGATCCAGGAACATTTTGATATTGAAATCCCTTTAAATAACAATGGAGTCACATTACAGTTACTAAGTAACTCTGCACACTATCTGTATAAAATTATAAAATTTACAATGATTTCGAAATAGTCTTTCTTTACTGCATTTCTTTTCTTTAATGTATGAAAACAATTTATATTTTATTGAGTAAAAATCTCCCATAGGGATTGCAATCTTGAATATGTATTTTCATAATAACAACATCAAAAGGAAATCATGACTTCTGAATTTCTATTTATATTTATGATACCTACGATTTGCTAGTATTTATATTGAAATTATCTTTTAATGTCAGCTGAACCATTTATGTCAGAAATGTCAGTAAATAAAGAATATACCTTGTTATTTGCCTCTTTTAATGCTATGAGTGCTTTTTAGACAGATTTTTCAGTGGTTATCACATTTCTGTAGTGTTTATCACCTATATTACGTGCATGGATGCATATATTTTGATTTCTGAAAATTTTGCGATAAAAACATAAAAACTTTATATCACTTTATATGTCATATTTTTGTATTTTCTTTATAGAAAGTAAATTTGTAACATATTTATATTCATCATGAAATGTCAGAAAGAACTGATTTATGTGATGATGTGTGCATGATATTTGTGTGCACAAATATTATTTACCTATCTGTGAAATTTTGAAAGTTTTATAACATAATGCAGAAGACATGTAAAATCTATTCTTAGCATAATCAAATGTACATTAAAGTAAAAGAAATGTGAAGTTCTTCTGATCGACATATTTAAATATGATGGTAGTTGTTCAGTACACAACTTTTGATAAACATTGAATCGTCAACTTTTGTGTTTGTTGTGTTGGGAGTTTTCACTCAGGATCACGGCAGTAAAAGCCACATCAAATTTACCAGAACCACACAATTCCTGGGCAGTTTCAGTCAAGCAGTTTACCAGTACTAGTTGCCTTCACTTTCTTAGAGGTACAGTACCAATGACCGTAGAAAGGATTTCATTATCAATCACAACAAAAATGACCTGCACCATCCGGGAATCAAACCCAGATCACCCGATCCAATGCTCAACCTATTTAGCTAACCAGAAGATGCAACTTTCGTGTCTTAGAGCAGACAACTTGAATAATCATTCACAAGATCATTAATGTTTTTTTTATGCTTTGAAACAAATTTGCTTGGAGGAGCACAAATTATAGTAATCCAGTGAATCTATCTCTCCTTTTGGCGCACATTCTCTGACTATTGGGTAGCCAAAATTATTTTTCCTGTTCCTGTGTTAGTGCCTGGTAAAGCCAAACAAAACAAACAAACTCACCGTAAAATTTTTTCTTTTTGCCTTCATTTCACTTTTTGGTACTTTGCATCATTGTACACTTTGATTGGGGGGAGGGGTGATAGTTGAATGTCAATGAAGGTAGTCCCTCAACCTCCTGAATTTGTATAACATTTGTCCAGCTTTGAAAAGTGAGTTACCAACAGTATCAGTCAGATTACACAGGTTTGCAGGCCCGCTATGGCCATGCATTGCTACCAAAGGCTCAGTCTTAAGCACTTCCTGTTCCAGCAGGCTTAGGGATAAGTCACTCACAGGGGCTAAGGATGGACATGATTTACATTATGTTTAAAGCTGCGTGACCATCAAGAAACATACATCAAAGTCACTATTACTTCTTGTTTCTCAACAGTTACTGCTGATTAAAAAATTACCTTAATTTGTCAGTCATTTTGTTTGTCAGACTGGCAAAAAGCTGGCAATAGAACTGTGCAAGATTTTTTTTAAGGTATCATAGTAAGTTCCCATGCAAGTGTAAAATTAATTGTTTATTGTTGGCTGATTGTTGTAATTTGTTTATTCTTCAGCGATTTAAGTACTTCAGATTTGCTGAGATTGCCTGCAAGCTATTGTACAGATGTAGTAAAAGTGTAGATGCAATCCCATTGTATAAAATAATTCCTCTTCATGTCACATTTTTTTGCTCCTTGAAATATTTCAACAGTGCATTCACCATGCAAGCAGATTATGTATGAGTCTGACTTTCTTGTCTTTTTAGCTCACCTGAGCTAGCTCAGGGTGAGCTTTTAGGATCGTTGAATGTCCGTCGTCTGTCGTCGTCTGTCTGTCGTTAACACTCTAGCTGTCACATTCTTGCCTCAATCATCATCAAACTTTGTCAGGATGCTTATCTAGTTGATAGCTCGAATGAGTTTGAACATGGGTCATCTCGGATGAAAAACTAGGTCAAAGGAGCTAAAAATAGAAAAACCTTGTTAACACTCTAGCTGTCACATTTTTGCCTCAATCATCATCAAACTTTGTCAGGATGCTTGTCCAGGTGATAGCTCGGATGAGTTCGAACATAGGTCATCTCGGATGAAAAAGTAGGTCACCGGAGCTAAAAATAGAAAAACCTTGTTAACACTCTAGCGGTCACATTTTTGCCTCAATCATCATCAAACTTTGTCAGGATGCTTGTCCAGGTGATAGCTCGGATGAGTTCGAACATGGGTCACCTCGGATGAAAAAGTAGGTCACCGGAGCTAAAAATAGAAAAACGTTAACAATTTCTAGTGGTCACATTTTTTACTCAATTATCATCAAACTTGGTCAGGATGCTTGTCTAGGTAATTGCTTGAATGAGTTTGATTGGTCAGGTGAGCCATCTAGGGCCATCTTGGCCCTCTTGTTATTCTGAAGCATTTATTTACTTGTTCATATATAATTATGAAGTAAATTGTGGAAAAATTCCAACTGTGTGCGACAACCTTGGGAATACAAACAATTGGTTTTGCTGCCCTTGTCTGGTTCTGTCCCTACTACATGTACATTGCATTTTTTACAGTTCCATAATTTATTGGCAGATATTTATTGTGTTGGTTCTGTCCTAAATCAACCTTTACTCTTTGTTGGTGACTGTTTAAGGTTGGTTACATAGGGTCAAAGTCACATTAAATTTGACAATGTTAAAGCTGCATGCTTCCAGCTGAGCCAAAACATTTTATGGAAATCAAACTTCAGATAAATGTACTAGATTAATATATGTTATGTATGATTTTGCACTATTTATCACCATATTTCTACTACATATTAAGGGCTATTTTAACTTAATTGATTGTTAAGTGCACTGTTTGCAATTTGTAAATAACTTTTTTTCGTTCAATCACAATATTTTACGTTTGAATTAATTTTCAAAATGTTCATGAAAATTTGCAATGAATCTAGAGGCATACTGCTTTAATCATATTCTTGTTTTATAGTTATACTATAAAGTATACAACATTATAAACATCTTCAAATGAATATAAATCCAATCTATTAAAAATATGAATTCACCATTAATTTAGTGACTCAGATAAAAAAATACATATTGCACAATGGTAATAAGAAGAGGTTTTTTCTTAGTTTTTGTTTATAATTTGTTTATTCTCTTAAAATAAAATAGGTAAAAAAGTGTTATTGCAGATAAATAGATTCCCCAAACATCTGTCTACTTGATTTAATGTTTTAAAATCTTGTTTTCACTCAACTTATTGCTTTTTTATTTAAAAAAAAATCAATTGAATTGCATTGTTGGAGTATTTGTGTTTTCAATGTTTTTTTTTTTGTTTTTTTTATATGAAACTTTTTCTGTGAAATATGTATTCCATAATGACTGAATTGTCCATAATCCCACCCGTACAGATCCAGGCCAGCTTGCAGGTCCGATCAGTCTCATCCAGCTATCGAAAAACAGTTTTCTTAGCTTTAATTTTGCTGCCGACCCAAAAAGTGACCTTAAAATTTTTGCATTTATTTGTATAATAAAAGCATCGCACAGATACTGAAAATATAATAAATAGATAGTTTTTCTACAGATATAAGAAACAACAGTGTGGACGACAAAACAAATTTAAGATAGACGACAAAACGTATTTTTTTCTTTCGGAGGTAGATAATTATATAACAGTAAATATGACGTATTAGTCAGAGTTACATCCTGTGTAAACTTCCACATGTTTTAGATTGTATGGTATTACGCTCATTTTACCACAAAGCTGTTGCATGCATTACATGCATCTAATATCACCGATTACGTCACCAGATAAAATGAATTAAAAAAACAAATTGTAGGTAAAAAACAGAAGTTTTTCAAACATCAAAGAAAATATGAAATACAGGTGTATAGGTGTTTTATGCTGAGTAATGAAATTGTTTACTGCTGTACAGAACTGATGGGGATTATAGAGACAGACAAAACTCACTCATTAGTAATAAAACTGGGATCTACTCAAATACTTTAAGAACTCATCTATAGTAAAACTGTCTTTAGAAAATTGAAGCAATTTGGTTTGGTTTCTGTATTAAATGCAGGTAATGATTTGATGGCTTCTTGAAAAAATTCATAAAATAAATGCTCTTGAGATAAATAGTTAAAAGTTGTGGGAGTTATAATGGGCCATAGGGGAGTCTTGGATGATTGCCAGTCATCTAGATATTGTTGTGATTTTTAAGGGGGGTGGGGGAAGGGGAGAAATTTACACAAAACTCATAATTTCTGTTTTGTTTTTAAATTAAAAATTTAACAAAATAATTTGAAGAAAGACTGGAATC